GTTTACATGCTCAACTACAGCAGAACAGACATTTGTGGCCTAACGCTCTGAAACTTTAGGTTTTAGGGTTTTAGGTCTCAGACCGATGGCGGGGATGATTCGTTGGAAGTTGGTAGTGCTTGGTCCCTCTCCGGTCTACATCATCATCCTCTCGACGTTCATGGGTTAGGCGTTGCTGTCGGCGGCTTTGACGTGTGTTGGACATAATAGGTATGTAATTTAATGTAATGGAGGTTTGTAAATGTATGCAGTCATCCTCAAAATAATTCGGGTATAAATACTTCCCCGTCCTAGAGGTTCGACGCCCTTCTCAACAAATCTCGACATTCTTACTTAGACAATTTATTTCGTCCCTTGCCGCAGTATCAACTCACCCATGAATCCTGCGCCTGTCTTTAGCCAATGCATCTGTTATATGTATTTATGTTTTAGTACCCGTCGGGGTTCACCCTACCCCCTTGTGTGCTTCTCCATTCTTCTGGTGGAGTCACATCCCTCTTCAGTGAACTCCTTTTGCTCCTGAGAAGGCTCTTCAGCTCATGTGTTGCTCCCCGTATGTCGCTGATTTATTCTTCCGTGTTCCAACATGTGCCATTGTGGTAAGCAACCCATGATGGCTCCATATAGGCCTTCCTGGCTCTGCCGATCCCTCTCTTATGCAACTAGACTCTACTTAATATTTCCCTCGTACGTCCCGTCGCCCGAAGTCTCCTAAGGCAGATGTTTCTTAGTATTGTTCTTGGTTCTCGTCCTTGGCCCTTCTCTCGGTAGACCACTTCTCTGTGAGTGTGTTGAGCTATAGTTTATTGCAACGACTGAAATAGAATGTTAGCTCGTCTGAAACCACTTGCTTACTGTAAATCTACTCGTTCTAAACCTCTATGTGCAGGTGGAATGTTTATCCTTATTCCTACCCCCATGGTTTCTAGAAAGGTGTAAACAACATTGCTATAGTTTGCTTTTGTCTAGATCTGGCGTGGGTCTATAATTTTTGTAAAGTTATCACTTTTAGCCCTACCTAACGTAGGCACTACTATCTTATATCTTCACTTAAATATTTATCTGTTCAACACTCTAAAATCTACCTTTTCCGACTCTATTTACCTGTTTCGAACGAAATTTTACCTCCAACAATTGTCTTAACTAACCAAGCTTGTTCTTCTAGTCTGTACGTGTCTATAGTAGGGTTCTGGTTTAACTACTGCCCTAATACTTGTATCTCTAACCGTATAGTTTCGACCACTACTAGAACTACTCTTAATTGTTGTTACTTATCTTGTTCGTTGTCTGAGCCCTTGTCTTTGCCGTCTTAATCCCTCCGGACCTTCTGATGTCGCTCCTGTTCTGCTGATTTCGATCCCTCCGATTCTTTCGATAGCTCCTCGTGTTCAGTTGTAGTGTCTTTGTTTGATAATGTTTGCTGCTTTCTAGGAATAATAGCTACTTGCTGAGAAAGCCTGAACCTTTCTAACTGCCTAGCCATACTAGTTCTACTTAGCCTAAAGCGTCGATTGATTCCTTCAGATCCTCTTGGCTGGTGCTGTTATATCTGCTGTTCGCCCGGTTTCTGTGTTTCTATCGGGCCGCTGTCACTATTTGACAGCAAGGACGACATCCTGGCACTAGCGTCACTGCTAGTAGAGCCTCTATCGACCTCCTCCGTCGGTAGATTCTAGCGATCTCGTCATCTTGCTGCTCCATCTTGCTTCTGCTGTTACATTCAAAGTTCTTTCTTCGTATAAAAACTATTAAATTTCAATTTAATACTATGAAGTGGCTTAAATAAAATAGCTTATTTCACAATTATTAATAAACTAACAACTTTTCAAGGTATAGATAAAAATGTAGTAAGTACACGTCGAATATCTATATCTCAACGTTCTCCCTCCTCAGGGAGGGGGACGTTGTTCACTTATTAATAATTGTAAACAGTAATCCTAAGATTGATGACTCTCAAAATGAGTCATCAGTCATGTGCTATAAAGACAGCAAACCCCTAAAACCCAGTTTATCAGATTATTCTGATAAACTGTAAAACTTATAATAGACCTAAAATAATCAAATAAACTACGCACTATAGTATTCTGACCACACATTGTGGCCTGTTTGCACAACCGGCCGTTGAACACGGCCAGCACCGCGTAAAGAATTGCCAACAGCGTAACGAGCAACACACTCATTGTTTCTGTTTTATTGAAGAAGGAAAATAAACACTTTTAGGGTTTAGGGCAAAAAATATGTTTTAGGGTTTCGCGAATATCGAATTATCTCTCAGTAATATACATCCGGAACACAACTTGCCTGTTGGCCATAATTTGTTTTTGTTTGCTTTGTTTGTTTTGTCTGTCTGTACTGAGCTGTAAACAAAACAAAAAACATAAAAATCAAACACCATGACGAAACGTACAAACTGGTCCGAGATCACAGGCATCAACCACCACACGTTTGACCCTACAGCAGAAAAATTTATCAAGAGCCGCAGTGGCATCACCTGTCGAGACGCATACGTCGCCGACTGCACGGCACGCTTGCGACTATACAACAGTGTGTGGCAGTTTTCGCCCTCACCCGCGGAGCCACCGGCAAGCTTTTACGACCACTCGCACTTTGGTCTTTGGTTAATGCGTTTACGGTCATGCTGGAGTCGAATGATATCGCTCCCCAGTAATGGATTTCTGCTTCAATGCAGTCATTTGACCCTACAGGAACAAG